CTGTCTATATTTCTGAGATGAGGTATTATGCACACTATTTACATTATTCCGAATATTGTCCTCATCTTTGCCGCTATGTTTATCACAACTTTTCAGCCGTTGTACGCTCAGGCCTTCTTCAGGTGGTCGGAATGTCGAACTGAATCCTTTATTTCGTTCAGTGCGGCAGAATTTTCTAGTTCCACGTGCCATGTCTAATAAGGAGTGCCAAAGAAAAGCGATAGCAGCAAAAATTGCAATATGAACACTAGTAAAAAATGTTGCTTAAGGCATTAGGTTTATAATACCAAGAAATTCATACACATACGCTCATGGACAGATGGCACAGTCGATAAAGTTAGATCCAGTGACAGGACCGAAAGAGTGTGAGTTCAATACCTGGTTCAGTCAATGGAGATTTTCAGAGCAAAATTGACAGGCGATAACTGACATCCATTAGACTTGGCACGTGGAACTAGATCAGTCTAGCCCAATGAGCGAAATAAAGGGTTCAGTTCGACATTCCAACCACCTGACAACGGCCAAAACGTTGTGATAAACATGGCGACAAAGATGAGGACAATAGTCCGAATTATGTAAATAGTGAAGTAGAGCTGTCAAGTCAGGATCGATTACATTGCAGAACTTTTTTTGTGGGGTGGGGATTTTGTCAAGTACCTAGATATAAATAGCAGGAGCAGCTGACCAAATAAGGCAACAGCCTTCAGTGTACGGACGAATGATAGATTTGTACATGTGTGCGATTGACATTGACAAGACGAACCTTTTGACACGACACAATGAACTATTCTTTGCAGTAAACTTAGCTATTGATTCAATGTAGTTGTTCCACTTCAACCCAGTTGAAATGTGAGGCGAAGGCGGCGCAGTGAGATGCTCTCCAGTAGTCGATCATCAGCCATTCTGATGGCGGGCAGCGATGTTTCTCTATGGTGGTTAAATGAGAGCAGTTTGGAAGGCATTCAAATTTGTAGGTTATTTCCGGCCCAATTTAACCATAATCTGCGTGGAAAAAGATTTTTCTCCCTTGACTGTATTTTAATAAAACAACTAACCTGTTTTTTTTTTTCTGGACAATCATGGTAAAACCTCTCTTTGAGAAAGATTTAACACCATTATATTCTCAAACCTTATGTCTCTTCTTGAATATCTGAGACATAAGAAACGTTTTTTATTGAAATAATCCGAATGGTCTGAAATATGTTCAATAAAGTTAATATAATACATTGAGTACTCGTATTTGTATTATGGCTGTTAAATTTTTAGCTGTAAAAATTCAATAAATAATCTACAAGATGACTTTGGATCAAATATGAGGACATTTGTCTCATGGTACCTCTATGTGAATTCTCATCCCATACACTAAATCATTAAACATATTATTATTGTAAAGAAGCAGTCGCAAACTTGAGTTTTTGTATACATAATGTGAATCGTCCAAATTTTGTTGCCAATATAACTACCAAAGAATATAACTACCAAAGAAAAATAATGGCTAGGCTACAAGAAAGAAGAAGTAGATGCGTCCCCGCAAAACGGTAACTTTTACAACAGAAGAGAAGTTTTGGATATGAAACTTTATACTAAGTCACTACACGTATTCTGTACGCGAAGAAAACGGTGCAAAGGGATGTCGGTGAGTGGCGAAATTAGCGAAGACAATAGAAGTCATTAGCATATTTTGCCACAGGTGTTGTTTCTTGTTATATTCAAAGCCATGTAAAATGTTCAGAGCCTGAAGGTATGAAAGAAAGAAAAACTGAATACTTCATCACGACTTCATTTTCCTCCATTCATTTCAGCGGAAAGTGAAAAATGTAATTATTACTGTTGGTCGTCGTCAAAATAGAAATATTAGTAGAGTTATCGGTAGGTTATTCTTTCTATGATTTTTTTTTTTTTACTCTAAATCATAATAGTCTACGTTCAGCGAAAAAGGATCATCAATAAAACATTAATTATTGAAATATATTTTTTTAATTTATTCCAAAAATATTGACGTTTGCGATCACTATTAATAACACGTGAGTGAGAAATTCTATGAGTATAGACATTGCGAATAAAACTAAATCATTATTTATTCGATGAGTAGTTTGTATAGAAAATGATATAAGTTATCTGAATTAAGTTACAATTCTTAGTTCTCAACTATACACTGATACAAAGGTCAGCTTTATTTTATGTTAAGCATATTATATAATTTAGAATATTAAAACAAACGATAAATATTGCTACACAATTTCAATTGTTTCAAAATGAGAACGAATGGAGTATAACTCCACTGTCCGTAACATTTAATTTAAAAACGGCTCAATAGGGACTAGAGCTAAAAATGCTAAATTAAATAATATTCAACTCTGTATTGAGCCCTCTTATATTGCATGTGATAGACAGTGACATTATAATCAATCTATTCTCTCGTCCTGGGTAAGACGTTAAACTTCTTCCGCGTCCTGGATAAGACGATAAACTACATCCAGTAGCAAGGCCTCTGATCAGGAGGATTCGAGGAGCGTGAAACCACGTCTTAATTGTTGGGGTTCACAGGTTCACCCTTATCCGGGGTGGTAGCACCTGTTAGGGACCCAGAAATGGACAAATAGTTAACTATTTCCAGCAATAACTTTTTGAAAAAAGAATATTACCAGCATTACAATTTTGAAGCAAAAATATTACCAAAAACAAATTTTTGACAAAACAAAATATTACCAGGAATAAAAAAAATGTTGCCGGCATTATTAACGTTTATATGCTGTAAAAATAAAAAAAAACAATGCAATTTGTTATTTTATATATATATATATATATATATATATAGTATTAATCCGACAAATTTTATCACTTTAAAATTTATTTTTTTATTTAATACCCATACTAGAGTATTTATAAATGTTTAAACAGTTTATTCATTATCGTCTATCGGCTTGAATATACTTAACTAGACATAATCTGATATTTTAAGTTAATTTCATCATAACCAAATATGTTCGATGTTGTTACATGTTATGATAAAAACAGTAAAGTATCTTGCAAGTGGGTCCATTTATGTACACCTTCCATTCAGGTAATACAGTTCGTTAAGATTGATTGAGAATCTTTCCATATGTAAATATGCCTTGCAAGTCACCATAGCTAGCCACATGATCATTCAAAAATACAAATATAAATAAATAAAACGCGAAAGGCTGATGAAAGGCTGGCTGTAAAACACATATTAGCCCTCGGGAAGACATGCAAATGTTTAACGCTAAACAAATGTCAAGAATATCAGTTTTAAAGAGTTTATTAAAAATTTTAGATTATGAGAAAGTATATTTGATTTTAGACTGATTCAACTGAGAATTCTAAAGGCCACACATTTAATATCTTATTTCATTGTCTTTATCGATTGACATCAATGTACTCATTTGTATTATTCGTACATATCAGTCTAAACATGGCCAGAATTTAAATGTCCAGTTTATTGCCTATCGTATAGTAAACGTGTGTTTAAATGTTTTATGGTCAGAAAAAAGTGAATTAGAGTAAAAATGACAAAAATCTTCCTACAAAAATAACATTTAAAATTTAAACAATTATAATACTCTTCAAAAGATATTCGATAATAGATTAATACTATTTCCATTAGTCGGACTATTGTCCTCATCTTTGTCGCCATATTTATTACGTTTGCTGAAGACATTAGGTTTATAATACCCAAAAATTCATACGCAGATATCAACAAGGTCAGAGGGCACAGTGGATAAAGGCGTTGGTTAGATCCAGTGACAAAACCCAAAGAGTGTGATTTTAATACCTGATTAAGGCAGTGAAAAAAATTGAGAGGGGAATTAACAGTAGGTAACTGATAACTGATTCCATTAAGAATAGGATGTCGAATTAGAACAGTCTACACCAGCGAAATAAAGGGTCCAGTTAGACAGTTCAAACTGAAGATGTCCGTAGCGTAAAAGGCCGAAACGTAAACTCCGGACTAATATATATGGCGACAAACATGAGGACAACAGTCTGAATAATGTAAATAGGGTACATAATGCATTATCTCAGAAATATAGACAGAAATAAATTAATCTGTTTTTTGTTTTTTTTAAATTTAACTTTGTTTTAGAAATATTTTAGGTCTTCCATTAAAATATACACGTGCACACGAAGATGCATACTAATACAAATTAGAATGATTCCCGAGAGATAATTTCCTTTTTTCCATCTTGATGGGAAAAGGCCCAAGTGTGTCCTGCTTTCAAGTTATTGTCATGTCTCCTTTTGTAGTGTTGAAATTGTCTAGACAGTGCGAGAATTGAATGTATTATTGCCAGGACTGATTTCAGAACTTTGCATTTACTCGTGCATATATTAAATGCCAACAGCGGAGGTAACTCCCGCCCAACAGACATACGCATATTATATAAAAGTAAACAAAGTCATTCACATGCGTCATGGACAGTATTACAGCTCTTTTATAACGAGGATTATTATGATTAACATAAAGCTTATCTGTGTCATGTTCATTAACGCCACAATCACTGAGTTAGGATGTCTCAATAATATTTCCTGGAAATCAAATGCGTCCAAATTACAGCGTTTGTCCAACTGCACTCTCGCCTACTGCAAAATTGCTTTTGACCTTTTCGTTTGTATTAATTATATGGTATCTCCTTTTCATAAATATACTATTACATGACTAAGGAACATACATCAGGTAGGATGATATGTAAACAATTGCGAGGAAGAGATCGGAATTTTGGAACTAACAATTTCTTAATTAATACCAATAACAGTTTCCGAAGTAGTAATTATGAACAAACATATGGACAATCTACGAAAAATAATAAGTGCTGATAGTGCTTAGATGAAGATGTGACTAACATTCGTGTAATAAACCTATGTTTCTAGAGACGTAGAAATACAATTGGGGTAGAGAGAATTATCCACTTATAACTGTACAAATGGAGAAAATTCGAATATGCCCTCTGGTGGTCTATACATAAACTAAATAAGTCTTAAAGAAACAAGCAGACAAAGAAACAAGCAGACAAAGAAACAAGCAGACAAAGAAACAAGCAGACAAAGAAACAAGCAGACAAAGAAACAAGACAAAAGAAACAAGCAGACAAAAAACAAAACAAAAAAAGCAGACAAAAAAACAAGCAGACAAAAAACAAGCAGACAAAGAAACAAGCAGACAAAAAACAAGCAGACAAAGAAACAAGCAGACAAAGAAACAAGCAGACAAAAAACAAGCAGACAAAAAACAAGCAGACAAAAAAACAAGCAGACAAAGAAAACAAGCAGACAAAGAAACAAAGAAACAAGCAGACAAAGAAACAAGCAGACAAAGAAACAAGCAGACAAAGAAACAAGCAGACAAAGAAACAAGCAGACAAAGAAACAAGCAGACAAAGAAACAAGCAGACAAAGAAACAAGCAGACAAAGAAACAAACAAATTTGTGCTTAAAACCATCGCTCTACAACTGAAATCCCCCACCCCCAAAAAAAAATTCAGTGTAGTTCTAGACAGTTCTCGCCAGAATCCATCCTACAAATGTTTTACCATTCGTCAATGCAGCGAATATTATTTACACATTTGTTCTGGTGATTTTCTATTCTGATGAAAGACCAAAAATAATCTGCAATGTTGTTGGTCATTACCTGCCATATCCACTCACTTTTCCCCACTTTTCTAAATTATCTTTTCCATGCTATTTTTAACATATATTTCCATGGTCCTGGTTGTGATGAAATAACCGCTTTGGTATCTAAATTTTATGAATTTAAGCTTATTACTAGATTGGAGATATAGTCGCGTTTACAGTTTGAAATGGCGAGATATCACCTTAAGTTCAATGTTAACTCTTACTTCCGGCTTGTGAAATTTTCTTCCAGCTATTTGCTTCCCAGTCAACATTCATCTTCAAAAATTTAATGCAATGTAAAAAGTAACCGCCTGTGTTAATTACTGTTCTTTTGTTCTTTTTCTTTTACTCATTTCACGCAATAAGGCCTTGCATCATATTAGACTTATTGCCTTGCTTGTGTTGAAATGATTAAAAAATGCTCAGGAAAAATAAAACAAAGACAATACAAGATAGTACGCATATTGGTTGTCAAATTTGTCTAATTGTGATTAACATTTTTGTTGAAGTTCATATACATTGCAGATTACCGGTGTTTTCGCGATTTGCTTCACTACCAGTCATAACAGATAACCACTTATATGAAATTCAACTTGCAAAGATGGATGCCAATCTATTGGAGAGCATCTATATTTTCGTCAATGGAAAAGAAAATTAACTACAGTAGATTTTTCCAATTCTGTGAACGAAATCTGCCTTTACGACGTAGATATCTTACTGCATCAATTGCAGCATTCTCATAAAAAAAATCCCTATTACAATATCAAGCCTGTAAGGTACCTGAATAATATATATTATAACTTGGAGATCTGATTAAATGAAAAAGACAGCTACCAAAAGATATTCAAGTCAAACATTTCGGTAGATTTTCCCGCGTTAACTCTAAAGGAATATTGTAACAATTCTCTATTGATTGCGGCACCAATTTTTAATCTTATATTTCTTAGTTTCGGGATTACTTCAACGACTTCCTATCATTGTGCTTTTTTTTTTTTTTTTTTTTTCATTTTTCTTTTGAGCTTACTCGTTGATCCGACTAATCCTTGACAAGTTCTTTTCTTTTGTTCCACGCGGATACCACTGCTCTGCTAGCAAAGATGGGATGGTCAGGCTAAAATTCAATTTTCCTTCTCGAAGGATAGGCTACATCAAATATTTTGGCTTTCCCAAAAACGACTTCTTAACTTACCAGGAAAAAGAAAAGAAAAAATACAAAACAAACTAGCATGTAAATATATTTCTGCATTTCGAAATAACTTTCGATCTTATTTCTCATTACATGTATACTATAAAAACGTTACTCAGCTTATTGACATGTCACTACAAAACAAAATTACCCGTACAATCACCGAGGTCAGGTAAATTTGAGTCTGGACAATATCTAGATGACTGACAGCTTCGTAATAAAAGATGCGCTAAGCTTATGTGGTTTAATGATTAATGACACGTAATTATTAATCGGCGAGCCGAGATCCAATCCTAGTTACGTACTTTATATTCACTTATGCAAAGATAATTTTTGAATACATCTAATCTCCCAGATATGGGTTAATTAGTAAGAATGTTATTACCAATTCATTATTATATCAAAAGACAAAAAAAAAAAAAACTCTTACAATGAAAAAAAGTAGTTGGCATTAAAAGCCTGCAAAATATTGATAAGCGGCAGAAAAATAATCACTGAAATCAATTATTTCAAAAGAAACATATGAACTTTGGTTTATTGCAATGATTATATCATAAATCATAGGAAATATATATGCGTAAATCGTAATCAGATGCCACAATTGTAATAAAAAAAAAAATTTAATGGCAGTAGGATTCATATTGTGTATAACAAATCACAATTGTCTTCATTCCACAATAACAATCTTATGCTATCAAAAATTCATAGATTTAATCCATCCAGAATAATCTGTAAAATGGTACTGACAATGCATGTTTAGTTTGGCAGAAAGATGTAAAAAAAACAAAAACTATTGCTTATTTGATATTGTGAATTTTAACAAGTACATATTTGAATAAAAGATGATATGAAAAAATATATAGTAATATACTTATATTGTGCTTTGTTATTCTGAATAAAATCCGGTGTCATTGCTCAAGAATAAATAAAGTCACTTGAATGTTATCGTTTAGAGGTTACACAAATGTATTTAAGTAGACTCTCTCTCTCTCTCTCTATATATATATATATATATATATATATATAAAAACAGTATATTTTATCGGCTACCAGCCTGAATATTCGAGAAAAGATTAAAGACAAATATGTAACCTCTTTCAGGATTCGAAATTCCTTCCTTCCCCTCTCCCTGGCAGGAGAAACACACACACACCTGCATTATATATATATATATATATATATATATATATATATATATATATATATTAGTATTTCTTCCGCAACCCTTCTTTGAAAACGATCGACAAGAAAGATTTAATTAATCTTTTGAGTTTTCCGGACATTCTAATATATTTTTTTTCTTTTTACAGGGGTTAAAGAATATACGAATTGTCTATAGTTATAATTGTTTCGAGGGCTTTCGGCTAATTCTTTAGCCATTATCAAGGATGTCGTTTGGACGGGGAAATTCAGTGTGCAGTTTCTAGATAGTAGTTTGGTGTGATGTGTATGTGCAGCGGGATTTGTATGCTTTTTGGCGGTCATGTTCTCTGCGTGGCCAGTTGATGTGGCATTGACTAGTATTAGAAAAATTTTAACACGCTACATAGTGTAATGTTCCCAGCAGGTGAATAATATTTAATAAACAATTCTTCCCTAATTATAAGTAATATACGGCTATTGGACTAGGATATATATATATATATATATATATATAATGCTGGAAAAACCACTTGCAATGTCGCATACATTTGAGCATTGTTCTACTGTCCAATAAAGAGTTGTCGTTGTCAATGTAATCTGGAAGCATCGGTTTTATTTCCCAGGTAATCCGTTTCCTTGCTGGTATTATAAAATTAACGGCGTTTTAAGACTAATATTTTCTTAGCTTACTCTAGAGCGAAATATCCTCATAACTACAAGACCTAACAAGATTTATTATAATTGGTGGGTATAACCTTGCCAATAAAGATACGCAGATGATTCCGGTGATGGCAGAATGCGAATGAAATCTACAGGAACTCTTAGGAAAGGTTGTAAATGAAACGCGAAGAAAAGATTAACTATAAATTGTATGAATGCAGAATCCGTAGTGGTTATCAAGACGTAGAAGTCGAAGATACGATATCGGAATTGTAGTCTGCACAATCCAGCAAACAGAAAAATATCAATCTTTTGGAGTTGCTATGATATCCTAAGACAAGTTGGGATATCGGAAAATGTCTTTCCAAATGCTAAACAAAGAAATTGTTCGGACTTTAGTAATCTTTGTCTTACTCATGATTTTAGATAAATCAGCTAGGAGAAATAACTAAAACAACAAAAAAACAATATTCGAAATAGCCAAGGCACGTGAAATTAACCTCATCTGGTGGACGAAATAAATGGTCCAGTTTAAAATTCCGATCAACCGAAGAAAGCAGGAGCAGACCTACGCCCTGAATATGGCAAAGATGAGGACAATACTCCGAACAATGTAAATAGTTAAAATATCTTATCTCAGAAATATAGACAGATACAAAATTCCTTTAGACTAGAAAATGAACTGCTATTTAATGTCAGTCTTCCTATGACAGTGAATACTCAATTAGATCGTGTATGAAAACAAAAAAAAAACCCCAAAAACTTAAAATATATTTCTACCGAAGGATGTTGAGATTTCCATATGCGAAAATCTAGGGAGCATTAAAAAAAGTGAACATACATACTTAGAATATGAAGGATAAAGTAAACATTATTGCTAGACACGAGAAGGATAGACAGCTTAGAAGATTTATCAGAGAACATGTTAGATTTAAGGACGGGGGAGGGAGATTAAATTAGAAATATTACATTGTTAAAATGAGAAGTGGTGGAGGGGCATGAATTGAGAAGTATGAAACAGAACAGCTGAATCCAGAGAGAGTAGATCTTTGTCAATATTGGTCAGAATTTCCCCACAATTGATATGCCTTAAATTTTATTTGAGCTGCGTTATATTTACAAAACGACAACCAAAAGAGAATAACTTTAACATTAATTATATTGTATTTAACATTAATTATATTTGTATTTATTTAAATTACACATCGGATGCATTTTATTATGAATGTGAAGCGTTTTACTTTTATGTTAAGTGTTTACATTTCCATTCAAGTTTGTTATTTTCTTCAAACTAATTCCATTAATACCAGTTGCAAAGCCATTTATGGTTGACATCGGAATTCCCGAATATTTTCATTTATTCCTTTCTATGACTTCACTTCAAATTATTTAAAATATTTTACATATTTCTAAGCGATATCTCAACAATTCAGTTATATTTCCATTCTAATTCTATCGTTTCAGCTTAGCTTTTAACTTGCACTTTCTGAATTTATTTTGCTTATGTCCTAAAATTACTTTCCATATTTTAAAGAAACAGTGCCATTGTGGATTTCCTGCAATATCCCGGCAATATATTTGTAATAGATTATTACACTTTCTGAAATTAGCTGAGATGCCTTCATTTTCAATAGCTTTACGAGAAAACCTCTTACATCGCTGATTTGAATTTTCATATAAATAAATTTGCAATATAGAAATATAAATATCGAATGTAACACATATATAATCAACCACAGAAACACTTTCTTGAAATAGAAAATAAATTATCTTCCATTCTAATACAAGTTTTTTCTATTGGCTAGGTAGGAATATTTAAACAAAGGCTTAAATGTTTAC